ATCCTGCAGCACATGTAAAATGTCTACAGTGTGTTTTATTCCACTGCTGGAAAAACCAAAGAAAACCTTACAGTGGTTTGAAAAGAAAGCATTTTTTAGAAGTGAGGTGTGCCTGGGCACAATGGCAAATGACACTGCTGATAAGTACTAAAATGTTATCTTCTAACATTGAATCTTAAATTCGAAAGTGTTCTATCCACAAAGCAATTAAATTAATGAAGAGACACCACAGAACGAATGACAGGCATATTACGTTTCCCATTACTCTTTCCTCTTGGTTTCCTTTAGTAATTTCTCTTTAGTTCATTTATGTCCCTTTAAATGCAGGAAGAACGACACATTTGCAAGTGTGCAAAATCCAAATAGCTTTATTGCTGAAAGTGAGAAATTGAATAGACTCACAGGGCCAGATTCCCAGCTGGTGTGGATTAGTATAGCTCCATTGATTTCTTTTATACCAGCTGAGAATCTGGATCATGGATCTGAAAGAGGACTAAATTGCCATTCATTTACTGTGGGTAAAGAGAATTCGCATGGGCAGTTACTACAGCTGCACTGTAAGCCTCTGCTTTGTTCATATGCCTATGAATTAAGCCTCTTTAGAGCCCACCTACATTGTAGGCACAGTTGAGTCAGGGAATTTGGTCAGCACACAGCTAACCCCTACCTTGGTTCCGAGATATAGGGGAGATGGGACCTGAGTCATGTTCTCTGACTGGCATAAACCCTCATGTATTAGAATATATGCAGTAACCAGGTCACCTGGCTCTGGTATGTTTGGAGTATATACAGGCTCCTATGCTACCTCTTTCCTGCTTGACTCCGGAGAGCTAGTCTGGGAGAGATGGTGGCTCAGCAACCTGCTGTAGAAGAGCAGGAGGGCTCAGACCATCCCCACAGAACTGGAGGAATATGTGTACCACTCTGATGGCTGCAGGTCTGGCTTGGTTACCCCGCTTTCACACAGCCAGTGCAGACCACGTTCCACACGTCCTTTTTTGTGCCATTGAAGTGTGCCATCCAAAACCTGTCCACACCAGCCCAAAGTTATTCTGTGTTTCTCCTTCCTGTACAAATGCATAAGTCATGAGTATACGGGTGGGGGACACTAAATGTGCCTCCAACAAATCATGCAAAAATACGTGGTCCACTAAAATGCACATGGTCCACTAATACATTCTTTGTATGTATTAGTTGGTTGTTACATATTTTAAGCTTCAACATTTTTTTCTTTTTGGTAAGCATGAAATACTCTCCCCAGGAGTTCTGAATAGGTTTGAAAATAGCTCTTTCTTATAGTATCTTATCCTGCCAAGATAGCTGCACTTTCACATACAGCACTGGGAACTGCCTGTGTCAACTACTACTGAAGCCAAGGCTCTATAGACTTTGCAGTCAGCCGGACCTAATTCTGCACAGCTGGATTCTATGGTGCTATGATAAAATTTCTGCAGTAGCAATGGATAAATTTTGAGTATTTTAATAAACTCAGTATGAAATTGAATAATACAGCTATAATGCTATCTCCCCTATATTATTTATTCTGCTGTTGAGTTCAATGCATTTTATAATATCTCCACAGTTTCCGTTGTTAGTGTGCTGTGGATTGTGTTACCAACCGCTTGTAACTGTCTCATAGAAGTTTTCATGGGAGGAAGCTAGAAGAGCTAGCAACTAGATAGGGAATAATTTAAGTTTGGGCACAAGAAAGACACTTTGAGACGGTATACTATGTAAGTATAGAAGTTGCCTGTTTCTGTTGCAGTGATAGGCCACGAACATGTTACCTGCATTGACAACAACATGGACAATCATTGGGCTTCAGAGTCAACAGGCTGTTAACATAATAAGACAGTTCACACTGCAAAGAGCTGTGGCTGCATGCAGCCATTTTGCATTCACAGGCAAAAGCAATCCCACCATGTTTTGCATGTGATTGCTTAGCAATTAGGAATGGCAGCTCAGCAAAGCAAGGGGGACCCAGAGATATGTATAATCCAGAGCACTGTAAAAAGCTGGATGTAACCTTGTTGAGATTTTAATTGTAGGGCTAACATCTCTAGCCATGTTCCTTTTGATTTTCAGAGTGGAACTGCTTTTGAAATAGAGTACATTTTAAAATAACCTTTACCTCTTTTCCCAGCTCTTAGCAATGGCAGTGTGTTGACCCTACAGTGACATGACTGTGCTGACAGGTGCAGCCACTTCTATTAAAACTATTTCCCTCTCTTACATACAGAAAGCAGCGGAAAAAGTTTCACGACCGTCTTCGGCAAAGCCTGCGCTCAGAACGGAATAACATGGTGAACATGGCAAATGGACCCCACCATCCCAACCCACCACCAGAAAACGTCCAGCTGGTGAATGTAGGTTTTACTGTCTAGTACTAGCTCTCACCTGTCAGTGTATGAGCAGCATTCACCTCATCACCTTTAAAATCTTATTAGCTGCTAAAATCAAATGGCAGGATTTTCCAGGAATAAGGGATTTGTCCACCTGGAAATGATTAGAACTACCTCTGAAAAAAAATCTGATTTAGGATGAATTCAGAACATTTTTATATATGATCATTTCCACACCACATTGGACAATAGCCACCGAATCTCTGTAGCAGAGACAGGGAAGTTAAGATACTAGCATTAGCAGAAGGCTATGTGCAGAGATGCTTCTCTACAATGTATCAATTGGGTATCTAATGTCATGCCCTTCCCACTGTTTTCCCCCAGTTCACTGGCCTGGTATATGCCGAAGGGGTTCTACTTACCATGGCTCAGCAGTCCTTAATGCCGATGGATATTTGTCTAAGCAAGAACAGCAGTACCAGGGTTTTTTATGTAGGGGAGGTGAAGGCCATGCCAAGCTTTAGGGAGAAAATCTGTGTCCCACTTTGTCAATTGCAAGATTTTCATTGACTTCCACAAGGCAGGATTTCTCCCAGTCTTCTAAATTGTGGTGATACAGTACGGAATAACATGGAAGTCTCTGTGAAAAAGTGGGTTGCTTGACTCCAGGAAAGAAAGGAACTGTCATTGCTGACGTATAAGACTTATAAGAAGGAGAATAATGAAGAAGAAAAGGTTGCCTTAGAAAAAAGAGCTGGATTAAATTCCCACCTCAGATAGCTACATAGCAGTTTGGAGTAATGCCATAGCACCTTGGTCAGCTGAACAGCTAAGGATAAATTTCTTATCAGTGACACACAAACTCTGTAGCTAGGGACAGAACTTGCACATAAACTGGTATAAGTGATCAGAAACCAATTCTGATCTTAGCTCAGGTTCTGTGTAAGATTCTAGTGTCTACAAGAGTTTCTTCCTTCCTGCCCTTCTCCCTGGGAGTCTCTTTTGTCCAGAAATAAAGTAGACTTCATGCAACCTCCAGTCATTCCAGCCATCCTGTCTCAGTATTTCAACATCATTGTAAATCTGTGTGTCAGGACAGGACAGGGGTGAGATCCTTGCCCAACTGAAGGTGGTGGCAAAGCTTCAGAAGAAACAAAATTTTAACTCCTGTCTTCTGCTGAGCTCAGTATCCAGTATTTCCCCTTCAGAGACCTAACTAAGCAGCCAGATTCTTAAGAGCTGAGAAACCAGCGGTTTGTATTAATAGCAAATGAGAATTCCAGCAAGCAGCCTCAGCAATGCCCTATTGAGGATATTTGGAGATCCCCAAATATGACCCATGATCCATATGACCTGTACATTTTTTTTTAATTTGGCCCTACCTGTGCGGGTATTTCAAATTGTTCCTTCTGTTTTCATTGAGAATTATGCAACAGACTCACACTACTGTTACTGACAATATATGAGCCATAGTATAACCTCCACTGGAAACAGTTACTTGCAGACCAGGTACTTTACAGTATTCACAGTATGTTCTTCATCAAGAAAGGCAGCAAGTAAGATGGTGCTGCTAAAGAAGGTGTCTCCCAGTGCCTGAATAAGGATGTTTGTGCCCAAAAGCTGGCAAAGAACTATTTAGTTGGTCTAATAAAAGATATTACATCTACCCAAAGACCTTGCCTGCCTATGTCCTTAGACCAATCTGGCTACAACCAACAACACCAGCTACAGAAAGTGTTACATTCAAAGTCCCCATCCATGAGGTATTTGAATTTGCCTATAAAGCATATCTATTTTATAAATCCTAAGCTGTAGGCAGCTCTCACGTTAGCTGACTCTCTCCTGTTTTGGATTTAAAGTGTGTGTGTTTACACATGAACATGTGTGCATGAGCAAGTGAGTTGTACGCTCCAGTATATAAAGATGGGGGTTTTCTATTTTTTCAGCAGTATGTATCGAAAAATGTAATATCCAGTGAACATGTAATTGAGAGAGAAACAGAGACATCATTCTCCACGAGTCACTATACCTCAACAACGCATCACTCCACAACAGTCACCCAGACACCCAGCCACAGGTACGACAGTGAAAAAGACAGGCGGTTCTTGGATGTCAGTTCTAGAAGAATGCAGGGTAGATTTGTACTTTGTAGTCTAACTGAATATACACTTATAACAGAAGTTTTTATGAGCTCTAGCTTACTTCATAAAATGCTGTTAAAGGATATACATAGCACAGTGCATAAAATATAGAGAATTGTTTTAATATAAAAGGGAGGTAGAAAGGGAGGAAGGGAGGGAGGGAGGGGGGAGGTAAAAGGAGGGTTGGGGTTAATGCTGAGAGAGGCAAACAAGCAAGACATAAACCCAGAGGAATAGAGGGGTCACAAAAGCTAATCCAGGTTAATGGGATAAAATAATCTGTGTTTAGACCATACTTAACACAATCCAGGCTGTGGATGGTTTCTTGTTCTGCAATTTCCAGTTTGAGAGTTTTTTTAAAGTTTTGAAGTTCTGCCTAAGAACGCCTACCCTGAGGTCAGTGATAGAGTGTCTAGGGAGGTTGAAGCATTCTACCATGGGCCTTTGTGTCTTTTAAAAGCTGATGTCAGATCCGTGTTCATTCATTCTTACAAGTAAGGATCACCCTATCTGTTCAATGTATACAGCAAAGGGACACTATAAGTAGGTGATGACTTATATGATGTTGGTAAAGATGCAGGTGACTGTGCCTCGGATGTTATATTCTGTGTTTTCTAATCCAGTGATGATGTGGTCTGAATTAATGAGGGGACACAGCTTCCATCTAGGTCCATTGCAAGGTTTGATGCCTTGCTAAGAATGGGAGTTCGGGTAGCCTGTGTTTAAGAGATGCTGTTTGAGATTGTTGGGGCTGCCTGGAAGCCAGAACAGGTTTGTCCCCTATGACTGCCTTGAGACTCATGGTCCTCTTTTTGCAGGAGAGGTTAGAAGTCATTAATGATGCATTAAAGGTATTCTAGCTGGGGCTGTCAGTGGGATTCTGTTGTCCTGAGATTGGTACTGTAGCAGGTCAGAGCAAAGTCTGAGTTTGGCATTGTTGATTTGAGTGGCCACAGTTTTGGGATTGTGTTGTAACTGTACGGTTCCCTGCTCCATTTCCTCAAAACGTACATTCCAGCTGGTACAATCTGAGTAGATACTGCTGTACCATAGACATTGACTGTACACAGTGGATCTAGTGGTGCGCTTAGGATAAAACCTGGTGGCATGAAAGTAGCTGCGCCTAGGAAATGAATTTGGGGGATGCAGTATTTCCAAGTCAGCTTCATGGAGGGGCTCATGTTTCTCTAGAGATTCCTTTCCATATCCCCAGACAATGAAGATGTCATTGATGTACCTTAGGCATATCATAGGGATGAGAGGGAAGCTGCAGAGGAAATAGACTTCAAGGCCTGTCATGAATATTTTGGGATATTAGGGGCCATCCATGAGCCTATGACAGTGCCATTTGTTTTTAGGTAGGGCTGTGCAAAGCTTTAGTCCCTGATTCGATTTGACAGAGATTCGGCCCGATTAGGTGACTGAATCCAAATTGAATCAAAGGACCCTTTAATTTCTCTGAATTGAATCAGAACCCTCTGAATCAATTCAGAAAGATTCAGAAAGATTCGGAGATTCAGACATAGACACAGCTTTAAATGTTTTTCCTGTATACCTCCAGGTAGCAGGGGCTCGTGAATGCCGCTATGGTGGGGCAAATGGAGTGTCCCACAGAAGTGCGGGGGGCTCCCCAGCGTGCTTGGCAGCAGACCAGAAGTGAACCAGAAGCACTTCTGGTCCACTTCCAGGTCCTCTGGGGAGTGTGCTGCCCCCCGCACCCCTTCTCCGGCTCAGCAGCTGGTGCCTCCTGGGTTTGTGGGGGGGAGGGGGTGGCCAATCATCGAGCCAGATGGGCACGGGGGTGTCCCCTAGCACGCTTCCCAGTGGACCACTCCTGGGTTCACTGCTAAGCACATGGAGGCCCTCCCCCACTCCTGTGGGACTTTCCATCTTCCCCTGCATCATGGCAATCACAAGCCGCGCTAGTACCTTGAGGTATGTAGAAAAAATATTTAAAGCTGTGTCTATGTCCGAATTGTGATTCTCCGAATCAGCACTGAATCTTCAGATTTGGATTCGGCCGAATCAAATCAGGGACAGTGATCCAAGTCAACGAATCGAATGACTGTCCCTGACTTGGTCCGAATCCGAATCGAGTAGGGCCTGCTTCGCACGCCCCTATTTTTAGATATAGTCAATTCCAAAATCGTAAAGAGGTGTGTGTGAGGACCAAGTCAGATAATGTAACAGAAACAGAAGCAGTGTTCTCATCAGATATAATCTTTATAATTTGCAATCTTGCTGTATTGGGGATGTTGATGTATAGAGATGTGACATCTGTGGCAGCTAATATGGTGTTTGCCAATTTTTTTGAGAAATGTGTAGTGTCTTTGAAAAAGCTAGAGCTCCAGTGGCATATGGGAATAGGATGGATTCAATTTAGCTAGAAACTCTCTGTGATCGTGCCAGTACCGAGACAATGAGGCATCCTGTGCTGCTTGGTTTGCGGATCTTGGGTAATAAATAAAAATTGCTAGGACTGGGATGCCAGGAGGAATTCCTGTAC